AAGAGCAGTAAAGTCAAAATTTCAACTCAATTCATGTTAATTATTTAGGAAAAAAATATTTAGAACCAAATTTTTAAGAATCAATTATTTTGTTTTCTCAAATCATTTCATTATTTACATTTTTTTCAACACAAACTACTATAAATACTTTAGGATATTTGTTTTTATTTTATCTTATCTGAAATAACTTTACTCATTCCTAATTTTAAATACAAACATAGGGTAAGTTGAATGCTAAATATCCACCATTCAAGAGCGATTGATTGATTGATTTTATTAGTATATTCTCATTTGAAATGGATGCTTGAGACTAACTGTACAAATAAAAGAGATAAAGAAGGCAAAGGACTTCAGATGTTTCCATTTTCATAGAAGGATTTGCAGCAATTTTATTGGTTTGAAAATTTCTACAAACATTTATAAACATTACTTCATAGTATTTCCCTTAATTCAGAAAGAAGGATACTGTGACAACTGCCCCATACTGTCAAATACATGACATTAAAAAGATAAATTAACATTATAAATAAAACTAACCCTTTTTAAAAGATATCTTAGAAGTCTGTTTTAATATGTAATTAAAACAAATACATGATAGAAAACTTGATTTATGTGAATGATGCTTTTACTAATCTTGGAATTACTAATAGGATTCATTAAGTTTAAATTTGGAAAGGTCATGTATCTCAAAAAATGGGTAACATTGAACTAAATAGCAGTGTTGGCTAAGGAGCACTGAGGCATAAACAGGGAAAAATAAAATAAAAGTGTATTATTTCTTGACTATGAATGCTTTCTAAAGTAACTCAGATGCTTCCATTTTATTTGAGTATTGCTTTTTGTTTCCTCTATTAAGTAGTGCTTAAAAACCACAACTTCAGTCAATCAGTAAACAGGATCATTACTTCTAAGTGTTTCAGATTCTAAATCAAGGGTTTCATTTAATTTTCCTTGTAGAATAATGCATATAGATGAGGATGTCAAATTGCAAATAACCTGTGTTAGAATAGCGTTTACAGTGCTTATGGTAAGTAATCAACATTATTGGCTTAGCTTAGGGATTTAAAATGCTGAAAAACACTAACAGAATAAATTGATTGGAAGAATAGAAAAGTACATCACTGTGTTAAAGATTTGAAATGAAAGTGAAACGCATTATATGATTTTGGAGTTTAAGAGTACATGTGCATATATAGATATGTGCGTAGATGGATAATGTGGGCATTATTGATTTAAATTCCCTATTGGGATTAAAGAGAGAATGCCTAGTTTCGTTTCAATGGTAATGCTGATATTCATTATCAATATGACAAAATACAAATTAGTGGCTCTGTAATACAGATTTAATGCCCCTGCTGAACTTTTTCCATTAGTAGCTAATGGCTATTCCTGTTTACCTTCTATGACTCCAAATGCTCATTCCATCTTTTTTCTGTGATCATCACAGTTATACAGGAAATGATTTTGCTAAAAACAAAAATATTCTACTTTATTTTAAAAATGATAGAGCTTGCATCTGTAAACATGACTTTAATTTATGCCTTCTATGATGTGTCAGCATTCTGAAAAAGAATCTTGTTCTGCATTTATAAAATAGAAGTGAAAAATTTCATAACTTGGAATAGTTAGTAAGAAAAAGGCTTGTTGCACTTATTAAAGTGAAACATTTTTCTCCCAGAAGAGTTTATATTTTTTAACATATATGCATACAGAGAGCATTTCATTTCCATTACTAAAAATCTTTTTATCATTGTAAACAAATCTATTCATTAAATTGCCTTTCTCTTCTATATAGCAACCACTTATTTTTAGAATGACTTTCAACTACTAAGTTGAATTTATTTTAAAGAAGAGTATAAAAACTCTTATTAATTTATTTTAATTAAATCCATTACAATAATCCCTGGAGAGAAAACAATTAAACATTGAATAAGAAACCATAAAAAATCGAGTTCATTTCCTCTTTGCATTTGAGTTCCCTGAGTCATCTCTTTTTCTCCAAATGAAGCCGTTAAGTATTGTAGATTTTTTTAAGTGAAATAGCATAATTTTAAATGAGGTTATGATACTAATACTTAATATTATTGCACATCTACTATATACCAACACTATTCTAAGCACTTAATGTGTTCATTTAATTCTCCCAAACAAACTTATGAGATAGAAATTCATTATTTTTCTCATTTTACATTAAGGGAGAGTCAAGGATACCATCAATAAAGTCAGAATACAAACCACAGAATGGGAGAAAATATTTACAAATCATATGTCACATATGCAAATGAAAACCGCAGTGAGATACCACCTCACACTACTATGATGGCTATGATCAAAAAGACTGTCAATAATAAGTGTTAGCCAGGATGTGGAGAAATTGAGACCCACATTCACTGCTGATAGAAGAAGCTAGTGTAGTTTCTTGGCAAAAAAAGTTTGAGACGGCCTTGAAAGGTCCAACTGAGTTATTATGTGACTTAGCAATTCTACTCTGAGGTATATATACAAGAGAAGTGGAAACACAGACAAACGTACATATCGGTATTATTCATAATAGTTCAAAAGTGGATAGAGCTCATATGCCAATCAACTGATTAATGGGTAAATAAATATAATGTATTCAACATACAATAGAATATTATCTGACAATAAAAAGGGATACAGTGCTGACACACGCTACAACATGGATGAACCTTTTAAATATTATGCCAAGTGAAAGAAGCTAGACATAAAAGACCACATAATATGTAATTACATTAATGTGAAGTGTCCAAAATAGGCAAATCCATGCAAGCAGCAAGTCAAGTAATGGCTGCCTATGATTAATCGGGTTGGAAGAAACAGAAAGTGACTGCTAATAGTTATGTTTTCTTTTTGAGGTGATTAAAATGTCTAAAAATGATTGTGGCTGTGTGCAACTCTTTGAATATAGTAAAAACCATTGATTTATATACTTTAAATGGGCAAATTGTATGGTATATAAACTATATCTCAATAAAGCTGATATGCACACACACCCGTATATACATATACACACACATGTATATGTGTGTATCTTTTGAAAGATATTAAGGATGGTACTTGCCCTGAATGACTATAAAGGGGCCTGGAATAAAATGCAGAATCTGGCTCCAGGGTCCATGCATGCAACTACTAAGCTTGCTGGTTCTGCTCATGGTATTTTTGCTCTTCAATGTGATAACTGGTTTCACTGAATCAAATATCTTGTTTAAAAAGCCACCATACAACCTGGCTCCAGGTCAAAGTTTTCTGAGTGAACATACATGAATACTTATTTCCAATAAAACAATATGACATCTAGTGAGTAATGATGTTGACTAAGACATTTGCAAGTTGCTAAGAAGGTTAATTTTGAATGTCCAGATTCTTGATAAATCAGCAAAACCTGCGAAGAATGGAGCACATTTAGTTTCTAACAACAATAAAAAATTTCTTCATAGCTACTTAGAGTTTACATTTTTATTACCTTCCCCACAAAGAGTTGCAGTTATCACCCAATCATGTTTTTTAGTCTAGGGGATAAAAAGAACAGATGTCAAAATAAATGTATTATGTTATTATAGTTATTATCTCCATTTCCTTTGGGATTCTGCTGAAGATTTTGGGAAATTTCAGAACGGATTTATAGAACTTCAGAGCAAAGGAACCTAAGAGACCATCTAGTAAAATTGTACAACTGAAGAAAATGTAACTTAAAGAGGTCAAATAATTTATAAAGGCACTAGATTCTGCTTTTTAAAAAATATGTTCAAGGCAACACAGTATTCACTCATCTTATTTGACTTTCCTTGCAACTCTCTGTAAGATAGATACTATTATTATTTCCACTGTATACACAAGAAAACTAAGGAAAAGGTAAGAGATTTGCCCACATCATAGACAAGCAAATAATGAATTTGAGATTTAAACCCAAGCCTTTCTGATGGATTCTTAGACAGCTTACTATACGTTAATCATGATCAGTTCAGCAATCTCAACTTTTTCATTAATAAAAAAATTAAGGGAGATCTCATCAGAAACACCATGACAAAGTTGAATCATATAATAAAATTGAGTCATAAAATAAATAATTGTTCATACATTTATTATATTCATGTATTACATTAATATTTTATGAAATAAAATATAATAGAAGCAAAAAATAAAATTTATCATAAAAAAATTTAATTAGCCAGAATTTGGACTTGAAGAGATATTGTGACAGATTGTAACCTTCAGCCCTAAACAATATATAATGGCAATAAACTGTTTTCTCATCCTGATGCATAAATGAGACAGATTTATACCAGAGAAATGCACTTGCAGTAAATAATACACAGTTAATTTAATACCTTTTCTAAAGTTATTAGTGTAGCTTATAACAAGACTTGCATTCAAAAATGATAGAATTAAATCGGTCACTTTGGAGACCCAAAGATACATTAGTCATCATTTACAGCATCAAGACCTCTGCAGCAAGAGACACAAGAGTTTTGATGTCTTTGTAATTGCATGTGCTGCTCGCTTAGAATGAGACCAACCTAGTTACCCAACATTCCTCCCTGCCTATCATTCCTCTCCCTGGAATAACTTCTCTCCTCTCTATTCCACATGACTACCCATGTCCAGTCCTCTCTCCTTGCGATTTTCAATTTGGAGTCCCTGGAGTTAATTATGAACTCGCTCATAACTGGCTTGGCCCTGCCTCTATTTCAAAGGTAATTAGTTAGAATCAACATTATCCATGCTATAACTTGTATACTAATCATATGTTACTGATTACACATTTTATTGACTTGAGTTTGTTTTCACAGTTATTTTTCCTCCTGCCAAAGTGATCATACACTTCCTATGAAGAAAGACTAAACTTATATTGACTTTTCATCCAAATTTTACTGCAAAAGTTACATATATACACTGGAAGAGGCTTACAGACTTTAATGTACATGACATTAAAAAAATATTTTTTTATTTTTTTAATTGTTCACATCTGCCATCCACACCTCATGGAAGCTCTCCCCAGGAGCTCCATCAATTCCTGATATGTCATTAGGATGCAGATCCCTCTACTTTAGAAACTGATTGCAGCCACTTGGATAAAAAGTCCATTCTAAATATGATGGAACTACATTATATCGTAGCAGAGTATATTATAATAAGATAATTACATTGCATCATTATTTTTTCTTTGAGAAATGCGATCTTTTCACTTACGTTAGTATTGATAAGGTTTTTATGTTTATTAACTGTCATTCATAAATCTTCATTTGGGAACAAACAGTTCTCCCCTTAAAAAGATAAGATATCTGGGTGGTAATATCCTTTTTTTTTTTTTTTCATAACACTTTGTAAGCTTTTAGATGAGATTCTGATGTGCCAGATGGATTATTTTGAGGCAATGAGTAACTGGTAGATCCATGGCATCTCTATCATACAAAACAGTGATCTGATCCTCCCATTCCATATATTTATAAGAAAAAAAGCCTTGTTTGCCCATGTGATCTTCCCTCACTTTACCCTTAGGAATATTAGAATTTCCATTCATTTCTGCTGGGACTCAAAAGCTTAGTTCTGCTGCAGGCTAGACTGGAGATATGCTCCATGAAGCAGCAACTCAGAGACTATTTCTCATTGCATGTTATTGCTGCTGCTGCTGCTGCTCCAAAGGGATGCACCTTGGGTGTCTTGCATTATTTTTATAGGCATTTATTTGGGTTCATTACCCCAGCAGCTCGAGCATACCTCTATCCATATTCTGCAGGGTTCCCCAGTAGATACAACTTTGTATGACCACTGGTTTGAGCTTCCTGTTTATGACGATAGCTACATCCACTGGGGTGGTGGATGGGGCTCTTCCTGCAGGTTCTGTTCATACCATGTCAGGTAGCTAGTACTGTGTAACACTCAACTGGGTTTTCTATTCTCCTACCTGCTATTCATCTTTATATATTTTGCTTAGTATCCTTAAATACCATATTTCCTAATCTGAAAAGTTTATGTACTATACAGAATTCTATTATAATAGATAAGGGTTAAATACCAACAGCAACAACAAAAATTTGTTTAAGAAGCTCAGAAGCTCCTGTGATTTCAATTAGATATAGACCAGAAAAAAATTTGTGCTCTTTCCTACAAACAAATTTAGGAAAAAATAAAAGAGGTGTTATGTAGTTTTTCCTTCCAGGAATTTTTAATATTGCTGTATTGAAATACGAAAGTTAAAATGTAAATGTGTTATAGTTTCATCACTTGACTCTGTGTATCACTCTGCATTTGAAATGCATTTTATCAGTTCTACAGGTTCACAGTACTTTAACCACAATTCTAAAACTTTAAAAGATCCGAAAACCAAATATTTTCAAATGTTTACTCCACATAGCATTTGATGGCAAAATCTGACTCAAATCAACATTTATCCACTTAGTGTAAATGGTCATATGTTTTATTTTACAAATATTTATAAGTTTGATTTCAGGATATTGACCCAGTCCTCACTGGCAATGTGATGTAATACATGGTATATACACTGTATTGTGTTTCTCAGTGCTAAAACTTCTAAATTCTGAAAACATGTTTGGCCCCAACAGCTTTACATACGGGATCATGGATCAATGGCTACCTAGCTGAATGCTAGTACTAACATAGGAACTATGCCTAGAGTGTATGTGTGTATATATCTACACATATAAATATACACACACCATAATAAACCCACAGAATTGGAATAAGAAGGCAAGAATGAGGAGAAAAATTAAGAATATGTTTAACTTCAGGCCATATTCAACATTGTACTGTACAGAATAAAATTTAAAACACCATAAATGACCACAAATAGAATATTGGCTGAATGTATTCAGGCACATCTGTAAAAGGGATACAGGTAGCCATAAAAATGACACTACTACAGAGTATTTGATGACATAAAAAGAAAGTTTATACTACATTATTAACAGAAAATCAGGTCATCACAATTCAAATAAAATAAAACTTTTATAAACCTGCATACATATAAATCAATGTGAGCAACTGTGCACAACAACAGACCAATGGTTATTTCTGGATGATGAATTTTTCAATGGTTTTTATTTTCTACCCTTTGCTTTTTCTTTAATTTCTTTTTAACATAAAATTTTATTTCTTCTTTTTTTAAGTTTTCATTTTGTTTGTTAAGAAAACCTAAGAGAACACGAAAGAAATAATCTAGACAAACAGTGGAAAGAAAAGCAGATGACAACTGAGCCTCAAATGCTAGATAGTCACATGCCTTTCCTTTGTTGTATATATGAAGAGCTGGTTCAGTGTTTGTTTGCTCTGGTGGGTAAAAGTTCATTGCGTGAAAAGAGAATTACACAGAAAATCGCAGAGAAATTTTATCATTTATGGGCTGTGCTTTGTATACGAAGATGATGTTATTGACTCCTTGACACTGAGGAAACTTCAGTATTTCTTCATGGCTGCAATTACCCAATTTGGAAAATGAACCAGACACCAGAGCTTCATCTAGATGACAGTTTAGACATAAAGTGCTGTGGCTGCCATTTTTTTTTTTTTTTTTAGTTTTAATTGCATGCAGCAAAGCAATAATGTACAGCCCTAAACTCCCATTCTCTTCAAAGAGTATACGCTCCTTAAATAAACAGTATTTTAAAGTAAGAATGTAAATATTACTCCCACTCAGCAAACTATAAGTGGCATCATCTTTGTTGTTATAATACAATATGTTAATAAGCATATAAAATCTTTTTTGATTGAAGTGCTGCATAATAGAAAAAAAATTTACAATAAAAATCGGCATCAATCTGGGCCTTTTGGGGAGTTCCCATCACAGAACCTTGAAAGCTAATGTAAATATTGATCTAAACTGCCCATACTAATCTCCAGGTCTTCAAGCCATATTATTCCATATTCTGGATGATTCTTTCTAGGTTGGGGCTAATGGTAAAAGTTATAAAGTATTTTGCTAATGAATCAGAAAATACCTATTAAATATCCTTCGTGTATATGACTCTTTATTTTTAAAATCCAGAGAACAAGTCACTTCTTATTCTTGGAGAACTTATATTCTACTTGGAAAGAACAAATATTTGTAGATGTAAGTAAATCTTAACTCAAAATTCAAAATAGTCCATGTCAAGAGATGTTACAAGCCTGCACATGATTAAAGGCTAAATATCTGCAAGTATTTTTAAGTCAAAATAATGTTTCCTGGGATTTGGGGATACATAATGCAAGTCCATGAAGAGGGAAGGGCTTCAAACATGCCTTGAGAAAGTTTCAGGATATGAGCAGAGAAGAGGAAGCACTTCCAGATAGGGCAATAGTATGAGGCAAGATTCAGAGAAGTCGAAAACAAGGACTATGTAACAGCTAAGATTCCCTGGGGGGTTACTATGTGCCCCGCACTGTCACATCATTTAATCTTGGCAAAAACCCTATGAGATTGGTACAAATATGAACCTGCTCATGACCACCTTGCCTAATAAGAACTGTCCACCATTCCCATTCTCCATCTCTGTCCATATTAGTGTGATACATTTTCTTCATGACACTTTCATTATCAAAAAGTATATAATTCATTAATTTATTTACTTCTTTAATGCAAGCTGCCAGAGGGCTGGGACTTGTTCAGCTATAATGTCCCTAGTACCTAAGATCAGAGTCACACACGGTATGTACTCATCAACAGTATCGCCCCTTTTATGAATGAAGATCGTAATGGGTAGTGAGAAGTTAAATAACAAGCCCAGTACCACGCAGTCAATTTGAACTCAGGGTTCTTTTTGCTCCAAAACCACGTTATACTATCCCTCAATGAATCATTAGAGAACAACAAGTCGGTCCCTTTTGAAGAACATATCAACTTCCTTGGGTTTTTGTTTTGTTTGTTTATTGTTCATTGGCATCCTAATTATAGGAAATAAAATTACAATAGAAGTTTAGTGTCTGACTATAAAGGCCTTGATTTTCAAGGTAAGATTTCTGAATTTTATTATAAGACAGTCTAGAATGTAAACAGAGCTAGGGAGAATTAATGTATCTGTCATCATGTTGGAGATGGGAATGAGGAAGCCTAAGCCTAAAACCAGAGCCTGACGAGACTGCCAAGAGGAGCAGCAAGTGTTTTAATGTCTGGACTAGGATTTAGCAGTGTACAGGAAAGAGAGAAAAAATACAAGAGAAATTACAGAGAAAATTTAACTTTTCTTCTGCAATTATCTGCCTGCAAAGTCTTTCACCGACTCTCCCCTATGGGAATCCTAGTCTTGAAGACTGGCACAAATCTAGATTATTTTGGGATTTCTCCTTATAGCACTCCTCCAGCAATTCCAGGCGCAAGGCCTTTGGAGCACTTTGCTCATGTTCACCTAGTGTCACACCGGAGTACAAGGTAGTTAACAACATAGGGAAAGAAAAATGCTGCATACCTCTTCTGAGAGCTCTTTGAGAGCTACAAGTATGTCTTATTCATCTGGTTATCTTCAGCATCGAACATAGTGTTGGAGGCTGTGATGGTTTATTTTTTGTCTCACCTGCACTGAGCCACAGGATACTCACATATCTGGTTAAACACTTGTATTAGTCCATTTTCACGCTGCTGATAAAGACATACCTAAGACTATTTACAAAAGAAAGAGATTTAATGGGCTTGCAGTTCTATGTGGGCTCGGGAGGTCTCATAATTATGGCAAAAGGTAAAAGGCACATCTCACGTGGCAGCAGCAAGAGAAGAGAGCTTGTGCAAGGAAACTCCACTTTATAAAACCATCAGATCTCAGGAGACTTATTCACTATCACGAGAACATGATTCAATTACCTCCCACAGGATCCCTCCCATAACATGTGGGTATTCAAGATGAGATTTGGATGGGGACACAGCCAAACCATATCAACACTATTTCTGGATGTGTCTGTGAAGATGTTTCCAGAAGATATTAGCATTTGAGTCAGTGGACTCAGTAAAGTCGACTGCCCTCCCTGATGTGGGTGGGTATGATCCAACCTGTTAAGGGTCTGAATAGAACAAAAAGACAGATGAACAGAGAATTCTCTGCTCTCTGCCTGATTGCTTGACCTGGAACATCAGTCTTCTTCTGCCCTCTGACTGGGACTTA